TGAAATGCTATTTAGTGTATCCTAATTGTGAATAATATGTATTTGTCTCTTTTATTGGTTTATAATTCCATTTAAGATTAGGTGCCTGTATTTTTTCATAATTTTTTTGATACCTACTATATCTACATACTTATGAGGTACATATTGTATTTTGTTACGTGCTAAACTGTGTAATAACCAAGTCGCGGTATTTAGGAGATCCATCACCTCAAGCATTTCTCATTTCGTTGTGTCGGGAACACTGCAAATCCTCCCTTCTAACTGTTTGGAAATGTACATCGTTAACTGTAGTCACCCTACTGTGCTGTTGAACGTTAGAACTTACTGCTTCTATCTGCATGTGTGTTTGTACCCATTAACCCACCTCTCTTTATCTCCCCACGATCCCCCAGAAACACACACACCCATCCCAGCCACTAGTAACTATCATTCTACTTTCTACTTCCATGAGATTAACTTTTTTTAGCTCTCCCATGAGTGAGAACATGGGATGTTTTTGTCTTTCTGCACCTGGCTTATGGGTCCTTGTATTTAAGAAGCATATATGGATTTGCATCAGGGAGATTGACTAGGAAAACTGAAACCCTGAAAAAGCAAGAATCTATAAGAGAACCAGGGAGAGAAAACAGAAGTGAAGATGAAAAGGTGTAATAGGGTAAGGGACTTCAGGAAAAGTAGGAACACAGGAAACACAATACTGACATAAATATTAGGGCTCAAGTGAATTTTATTTTATGATGCGGTTGATAGCAGGGTGTAGCAAACAGACAAAAGGAAAAGATAAACATAGGTACAATGAACAGGGATAAAGAGGAGATTTCTGTAAAAAGTTTTGGCTGTGTACTTAGTAGATAATTTGTTGGGTGAAAAGTCTGTTTATCTGGTGATAGAGTCAGGATTCCTCCTTCACTTGTAAAAGTTGATAAAACATAACTCCAAATGGTCAGCAACATCTTTAATTCTAAGGAAACAGGTCCCCAGGAAGCGTTTCCCAAAGCAGGTCTTCTGGCACAGTACTGTGGCAAAAGCTTCATGAAGAAAGGGGTTCCTTGGTGAAGTAAGTTTGGGGAATGCTGCGCATTACATTCTCCTTCTCTAAGATTCCCATGCACAGTAGAGGATTAGCAGAAAACCTGTTAAAGTCACTCCTTTTTTTTTTTGAGACGGAGTTTCGCTCTTGTTACCCAGGCTGGAGTGCAATGGCGCGATCTCGGCTCACCACAACCTCCGCCTCCTGGGTTCAGGCAATTCTCCTGCCTCAGCCTCCAGAGAAGCTGGGATTACAGGCACGCACCACCGTGCCCAGCTAATTTTTTGTAATTTTAGTAGAGATGGGGTTTCACCATGTTGACCAAGATGGTCTCGATCTGTTGACCTCGTGATCCACCCGCCTCGGCCTCTTAAAGTGCTGGGATTACAGGCTTGAGCCACCGCGCCCGGCCTAAAGTCACTCTTAATTCAGTGTTTACCAGACCTGTCTGACCACAGGACTCATTTCACTCCAAATCCTATTAATATCCTATAGAGTTATTAGCAAGAGGGTAGGTTCAATATCAGAAAACCTGGATTTGAACCTTCACTCCAACTTTTACTAGCTATGTGACCTGGGGCAGATTACTTAATAATAACCTTAAGCCTCAGCTTCTCCCTGTGCAAAACGGGTTTAATGATGTAAAGTTTGGCACGATGTCAGGTACATGGTAATTGTCAGATTAAATACCAGTTATTAGTATCTTTCAGAAGATATTTTGGGAAACCTAAGAACATCCTAAACTTTCTGCCAAATTGTCAGTAAAAAAGTATTAAATTATGCCATCATTCTTAGAACAACTAGAAGAAATATATTTTTTCAATCAAAGAAAATTGGCAAGTTTTTTGTGTTTTTCCTTCCCTTCTTCCCCCTAAACTTTTTTTTCCAGTTGGGAAATTTCAAATCAAACCAAGAAATACCAGAAGTCAGTCACATCACAGCAAGCCAATGATTTGCAGCAAAGAAGCGTCATAAGCAACAGTCTATAACAGAGATGTAAATAGATCTTGGATCAAAGATAACCATTTCTAAGGTGAAGCTACTTTAGAAAAACACAGCTGTCTCACAGGCCAGTGAGACTGTGTTCATGCCAAACACAACGGTGGAATAGGTGAAACCTGGTTTCCTGCCCTTGACTATCCAATTCAGAGGAAAAAAGCCTAACTTACTTCCTTACACAACCTGCCAACCTTGGTCGTGAACTAAGGGCCCTACGAGTCTGCATTGCTCCCTCAACCCATATGACTTTCAGGAAAAATCTAAAACCTCATACATGCTCTGGGGTTACTGCTCTGAATTATGTGCGTTTGCCTCCTAACATCCTTCAACTTCTTCAGTCTGAGTAAAATTCTAAAAGCGAAATGTCAGGAATTTGCTAACAAAGTGTGGAGTGGGGAGGCCTTCCTAGGGAGGGCTCCTACAATTGCTCCTGTGGAAAGTAGATTCTCCAACCTCTGTGTCTTCTCTGGGGCTCTAAAGCCTTATTCCTAAGGGTGCGTGCAAAGTCCTTTGGGCCGTGCTTGGCATTTTCAGCGCTTTACTTGGCAGCATCTGGATTTTCTCAGATCCATTCTCTGTATGTTACACTGAGCTGGGAAACCCCCTGTTTGAAGCCTGAATGAGTTATCACACATTGCTAAGTCTAGGCTTCCAGGTGACAGTGCCAGGAAAGACTGATTCAACCCTCGACCAACATTATGAGCTTATTGTCTCCCAAACAAGATGTCATTAGCAGCCACTGCCCCATCTTTCAGAAAGATCACAAATCTATCCCATAGGTACACACTGCCAAGGAATGCTGAGTGCATTCTCTCCATAATCGAAAGTCTTGCTCACCCTTTGTCCTCAGCAAGTGCTTCTTTAATGAATGAATGATGAATGGACAAATAACTTTTTTCCATTCCAACTTCAAACTTGTGACCCATAGAGCTAGGTCAATCCTAAGTCTATTATTCTAAAGACATGGTTCAGACACCTGTTCACTGGCCTAAGAAAACAGAAATAAGTAGGAGGAAAATGTCATGCTCAATCCCCAGCATCCCAACCCCAAAAATCAATTGTTGAAGTGTCCGATTCATCAAGTGAAACTCAAGATCTTCAAAAAGTTGCCCAATTACTAGTTTTGTAAGACATATTTTATGCCACATTTCAATATTCTAATTTCCATTGTATCTCCCAAATTATGGCTTAAACTACATTAAATAAACTTGTAACATAACCATTTATTACATTCATTTGTTGCTTACTCAGCAAACAACAGAGAGAGCTGCCTGGTGTTGATAGGCAGTTGTTAGTGATCCTATAGGAAGTGCGATGTTCATGCTGACACTCAGTAGGCAGTTTTTTAAGAGTAAAATTGTCCCGTTGCATTTCATTTTGAAATCAGAACATTAGTTCCTGCTTTATTTTCAAGCCCTCTGTTCACACTGTACTAAAGCCAATGCACTTCACTGCTTTGGTATTTAAGTGGCACATACTTAATGTCGCTTACCATATGGCTCCTGGGCTCATGTTTCAATGACCTCATGTGGTGTGTAACATTAGTTTCTTAAAAGCTCCATAGCACCTTGCCTTTAATTATAGGTATGAAATTATTCAAAGCAATATTACTAAGAAATATTCCACTCGACCCAAACATTATGGAATGCTATTGGCAGTGATCCACCTCACGAAGGATTTGTGGGGTACTTAAAAGGAAATTAGAAGGGCCTACAAATTGCCTTTACTTAGGAATACAGCAGGCGGAGCACCCAGCTGGGGTCACGGGAGGTGCAAGAATTGATCTTATGAGCCGATCCTTCTCCCCACACTCATTTTATTAATGGTCACAGGATTATAGGCTTAATAGATCTTTTTTAAAGGACTGAGTCATTCGCCTGTGGCTAACATAACTGAGTGACACTGTCTTGTGTACTTCACTATATTATTTTTCTACTATTACCTTTCAAAGGTTTTTATGTACAGGTATTTGCCCCACAAATTCATGTATTAAATTCCTTCAGTTGATATGTAACATTTTCTCTTTTAATTTTGCTGTACTTTATTTATTTCTTCCATTACATCTGCTCTCCATGACACAAAAATCACCAAGGAATGCAACTGGACATGACATTAAACTTCATAAAAACCAGAGCCTTGTTCACCACTATATCCCTACTAGTGTCTATGATGGGTAGCACAAAGGAGGTATTCAATAAGAATATGAATGAATGCCTACACAAACAGTCAAACAGAAAAACTGATACTGTGTGTCATGAAGGAACAAAAAGAACAGGATAGACCCTTATTCTGAAACAAAAGGCCTTGGAACAAGACTACATAGTGTATTGGATGGACAGGTTCTTTACGTATAAAGTTGAGGACACACCTAGATTGCTGTGAGGAGTAAGTGAAATAATGTAAGTGAAAGCTGCACAAAAATGGTAACGCACTACTCAGAGACAGTGTCTCGAACATGACAATGAGCTGTGAGGAAAATAAAGCCAGCAATTAAAACTACAACATGGAATTGCAGCAATCCCAGGATCTTCCTCGGAGCAGGGTGCAGTAAGCACTGGTTTGGGCCTCAGGGATTGATACAGTTTGGTTCTGTGTTCTCATCCAAACCTCGTCTCAAATTGTGATCCCCATATGCCGAGGGAGGACCTGCTGGGAGGTGACTGGATCGTGGGGGCAGTTTCCCCAATGCTGTTCTCATGATAGTGAGTGAGTTCTCACAAGATCTGATGGTTTAAAAGTGCTCGGCAGATCCCCCTTGCACTCTCTCTCCTGCCGCCTTGTGGAGAAGGCACTTGCTTCTCCTTTAACTCCTGCCACGATTGTAAGTCTCCTGAGGCCTCCCAAGCCATGCGGAACTATGAAGTCAATTTAAAAAATCTTTTTTCTTATAAATTACCCAGTGTCTAGTTCTTTATAGCAGTGTGAAAATGGACTAATACAGATGGGTAAAGAACATCATGGAATTTGGGACTGTGGAAGGAAAGCATTTTATTGCAAATAACTGATAGTTACAAAAACATTTTTAAATTTTATTATTAGATGTTAGCCAAAAATCTAGAAACTAACATTTACCCAAATTGCAAAATAAGAGCTTTTCATTTTTCAAAGTCTCTAAGGGTGAGGTACATCCCAGATAAAATGAGGATAGGTCAGTCTCCTTTGGTTTTGTGGATTCTTTCCAAAAATTCTGAGACTATTTAGCCTTCCCAGTGTAGTTACAGCTCACGTCAGAGTATACCCAGGCAGGGTAGAAAGCAAATAAACTGAGCTACCTGTGCCTTTTTCCAAATCACTATATGCGCTTGGCTCCTGAAAAAAAAGTCTGATATATAGGCATTTTCATTACTTAGTGAGATATTAGTGAAGACCTTTTAACATATAACACACAGTAACTGTTGCATGTTTTTAATACACACTTGACTTTTCCAGGAATGCGACTACTGTGTAAATCAGGGCAAGACTATAAGATTTTTTTGTTCAAAACATGAACAAGAGTTGCCCGCCATTTCAGAAAGTCACATCCAGTGACAACACTGTGATTTTCTGTTGCCAGTACACTGATCTTCATTTGTAGCTGCTGGCTCTACATACAGGTTCAGGCATCTAATGGCTTAATCTTATCTTCTAGGGTGGTTATACCCAAGCATTTTTATTGAAATAAATTTTATTTTATTAAAAGTTGCTTTCTTTTTTTCTACATTATATTATAGTTAGGGTACTATGCTCATTGCTTAAAATTATATGTGCACATAGATGATTATATTAACTTTGATTTTCATTTCATATTCAGAATAAAATATTTGTTATGAGAGGCAACATTGAGTCTGTAGGGTTAGGAGAGCCACTAATTTTATCCAACCTCCTCACCCTACAATTAAACTGAGGCTCAGAGAAGTGAAGTAACTTGCTCAAGGCAAGCTGATGACCGAGTCAGCACCAGCAGTTACCTAGGCAGATAGTGCTCCTCCCAACACACTGCGTTGCTTCAAAGTGATGACTGTGTAAATATGCAAAGAGGGCTAAAAATTCAACTCATACTTCAAAATGAGTTGGTGACCATTAGACTCAGGGGCAGGCACTGAGAGGGCCCCCAAAACTCCAGCACAGGAATAAGATGTTTAGAGAAGCTGTTCACTTCGTTTTCACCTGAAAAGCATCAGGTGCTTGTTCTGGCACTGAGCTTATACAAAACTCAGCTGAGGTCAATTCAGTGTCTCTCTCAAAGGTATATGGAGAAAGCAGACGTTTGTAAGGCTTGTGTTTAAGGCTGGCTTGAAAGTGAAATAAAGGCGGAAATAATATTACTTATCTCAAGAAAGCAACATTCCATTCTTATCTCGAACATAAACTTTCAAAAGTATTTGACAGTGAAGAAGTCAAGGGATATATACTCAATTTAAAATCAGTAAATGATGCCCCTGGTTTTAGGCCTTGAGTTTAAGTAGTTTTGGGCAGATGGAGTTCAACAGGAGGTCTGAATTTGCAAATAACTAGGTAGAACAGGTGAAGAGTGTGTCCCAAGAAACTTTGATATATAACACATGCATTAAAACAGTTTGAAATATTCCCGGGAGATATGCATCAGGTAATTAACATTTCTCTCAAAGCTGGCTTCTAGTCAAATCACTGCTCTACATTTACGGAACAAAGAATTCTCTCTTGGACATTCATTACTCAGATGAACCAAACGGCACTCTCAAAATCAGCCAGCTAATGGCTCAAAAGCAAGCCAACTAATAATATGTTTTAAATGATCTTCTACACTTAGCCCTAAGCCACTGCTACTAACATGAGTTCCCCGACCTGAGATTAGGGCTGTCTTCCAAACCTTAAAGGGAAATTAAAACACCTAATATTGGTTTCAAACTAAAGCTGATACCAACAATTACAATATTTACGATCCGTCTGCAAACTAAAATAGTTCATCTTTTCTTTTAGCCTCCACATGGTAAATGCTTCCTAGTTACTTCACCCAGTTCCCATAGAAGAGCCTAGTGTTTTGAGTTGGAAATCCTGAACCTTTGTAATGGACTTTGCTTCAAATGAATATGATCCTAAACACCTATACAACCGTTTTTATGAAATTAATGGAATTTGTATCTATAAAATAAAATAAAATGCAATGTATCCAAAGTTACAAATGCGCTGAGCCAAAACATTTAACTCTGTGTGGAGTGATACACAGAATTGCCTTTTGACATTATCTTAAGTGAGATCTGAGGCACACACAGCAGGCAGATGGAGGAACCGGAGAGGCAGCTGTTTCCACGCCCTGGAGCAAAGGAGCAGGTCTGGTGGTTTTAAAATCCTAGGGAGAAAAATAAACAGTTCATCAGTATGGTCACTTTCTTCAATTTTCTTTTAGAGATACCTAAATGAAAGAGGTACTTAATCTAGGTTTATGGCAATGAGGTCTCTTGGTTGGAAGCTCCTCCCACATGGCCCATGGGACCTGCCAGGGTACCATCAGCCAGAGGCCCAGACATTAAAGGTGTGAGGAGAAAGAAAAAGATGCTCTCTAGGAAGCAGCAAAACATTCATTTTGCTGCACAGTGCTAAGGACTAGAAGGAGTATTAAAAAGCAGAAAACTTGATCCATCTGAACTGATCCCACTTACTTGGCAATCCACATCTCACTGGAGAAGGACTCCGACTTCGAGACATCTGAAAAGTATAAAAGAATAACGCGAATTACACAGTACATGAAGCTCAAAAGATGAATCCTTTTGACATACTTTCTTTTCCCTAAAACCAACCAAATAGCTTGCTGAGGCACTTTAGCCCTATGATATTCCCCCCTTAAGGCTGACTATTGTGATTCTTGTTAGACTTCTGAAGTACGTGGGCACTCAACTTGGTTTAAATTATATTATTAGTTAAAAGCTGGGTTCAGTGGCCTAAGAGCAGCCATACTGAATTCAGTGCTTTCCAGAAAATAAAAATATTTATTAAAACTCACAAATTAAAGCTAAAATGATGATACAATCTCTGGAAGATACTTTATAATAATTATAAGTCAGAAACTCTGCTCTATTAAGAAAAGTCACCAGGCAGCCAGAAAATCATCATCTTTCAAATCTCACCTTTACTTTCACTAAGTAGATGGTACTGCACTGGAACCACTGCACTGGAACTAAGCCTGTGACATAGTTGGTGAGCCATAACTGGCTAACATTATTGTTCTGAGCTTTCAAACACTCTAGGTAAATAGATGCTGATGAAAAAGGAATCCATTCTGGATGAATCAAGACCCCACATAAGCAAAAATTAACCCAACTAACCAAAAATACTTGTATTTTATTTTGTGGCTATGCCCCGTTTTGTTGTGGCAAGAGGATGATGGAAACAGAAAGTTGGCTACAGTTTTACCTTTGAGAATATATTTTATTCTCATCTACAGTTTAAATTAATGTGTTCTTTCTGAGCACAACATGAGAAAGAAAGAGAAGATATAGGGGATTCTCACAGAGGACATTGCCCATGGATAAGCCTTTTGATGAGAGTCCAGAGTTACCATTTGCCATGGCTGTTGCACAGTAAGTGTCTAATAGTATTTTCTTCTGACATGCCATTTCCTCTTAGAATGGGGAATTGTGGTTCTCCCAGTATCATGCTCCCAAGATTTCCTTTTTATTTACCAAACCACTAACTGCACTATTGTTTTGCTTTTACCTGCCATAAATACTTATTCATGAAAAAAGATAATGAAGCTATATGAAAATCTCCAAGAGCAAACGGATTGTGTCACATGCATGTCTTTTCCATTTCCCCATCATTTTTTAGGCCGTTTCCTTCACTTGAATGTTCCCTCCCAATTTCCTAGCCCATTGAAATTCCACACATTCTAAAACACCAAATTAAATACTACGTCCCCATGAACACCTTCCTCATGACCAAATCTGGGAGGAATCTCTGTCTCGTCTGATGACTCTAGCCTTTCTGCTTCTTTTAATGACTATCATGTTGCATCACATTATGAATGTATTGATTTGTAAACTGTATCATGTTCCGTTAATGTGTTTAAATTATAATAATCTTTCTCTTTTATGTATTTTATTTTTCTTTTTAACTTTTAAGTTAAGGCATACATGTGCAGATTTGTTATATGAGTAAACCTTTGTCAGGGGGATTTTTGGACAGATTTTCATCACCCAGGTATTAAGCCTAGTACGTTAATTATTTTTCTCAATCCTCTCCCTTTCCCCAACATCCACTCTCTAAAGGGCCCCAGTGTCTATTGTTCCCTCTTTGTGTCCATCTGTTCGAACCACTTAGCTCCCACTTATAAGTGAGAATGGTATTTGGTTTTCTGTTCCTGTGTTAGTTTACTAAGGACAATGACCTCCAGCTCCACCCATGTTCCTGCAAAGGATATGATCTCGTGATCTTCCTGAATTAAGACCTATTCAGGGAAGAGACCATGTTTTTGTCATTTTTGTGTTCCTCCTAAATCTAGCATCCCTCAGATCCAGGAAGAATGTTTGATAAGGAGCATGCAGGAGTCACAATAGATGCTCATTAAAGTCAGTAAGGGTCTCATCAACTGCAGGGGTTTTTGGTTTTGGTTTTGTTTTGCTGAGGAGGTTGTATAACTTTGGGGCTATAGCTGCATGCTAGAGACAATTTCAGAAAAGTGTAGGGTTGCCAGATGTCATTCTCCTTCTCCACCACTCTCTCTAAAACAAGGCTGAACAACTATTTAAATAATTACTGTTTGGAGGAACAGCACGTCATTAGCCTATTTGGTGTCCACACATCTTGGTCTAGCCCTGTATTCAAAAGGTACTAACTAAATATTTGTGGAATTAATGAATAGTGGTGAATCATAATAATGTTTTTTTTATCATTTTGGAGGGTTTTGTTTCATTTTGTTTAAGACAGGGTCTCACTCTTTCACCCAGGCTAGAGTGCAGTGGTGCAATCACAGCACACTGCAGCCTTGACCTCCCTGGGCTCAAGTGATCCTCCCAGCTCAGCCTCCGAAAATAGCTGGGACTACAGTCACATGCCACCATGCCTGGCTAATTGGGGTGGGGGGAGATTTTCTGTTATGCCCAGCTAATTCTGGGGAGAATTTTTGTTTTGAGAGATGATTTTACCAACATTGCCCTGGCTGGTCTGAAACTCCTAGGCTCAAGCTACCCTCCCATCTCAGCCTCTGAAAGTACTAGAATTACAGGTGTGAGCCTCACTGCCCAGCCCATAATAATGTTTTCAGGGATGTTTTCTTCATAGTTTTAATAGATGTTTTTGCTCTTATTTTTTTCTTTAACAGAAGTATTAGCAATCTTTCCAAAAACTAATATACACAAAAGCCTATTCTTATTTTTTCTAGTTTGAAGTTGAGAACAAATTAACACCTGCAATGACCTTTAAAAGGTATCAAAATCCAGATCATTTGAGCAATTTCTCCAAACTTATACATGAATTTCTAAAGGGGCCAGGCACCTGTGCCCACATCAGTTGACTAAGGTATCCCATTCACTCTTCAGTCAACTATCTGATCTCTAATATATTGCTCATTTCATCCAAAGATAAAAACGAAACTATGAAAAACATGAAATCTACTATCCCTTGAACTAAGAAAGAAAGATAAAACTTCTCCTACTTCTTTCTAGAATAATAAATTCTTTAGCCCACAGTAGTACAAAAGTCAGTTTGGAGCTAGCATAATTGCAACAGGTTCTCTTTCCACCTGTAGACTAACAATCACCTCTTTTGTACAGTTGAAGAAAAAACTGTTAACCATAGATGAAATTGTATAAAAATGATTAGGTAGATATGTACCGTGCTTAAACCAGTATGGCTACGGGGGCAAATGGGACTTAAACTCCTGCTTCGACATCGAGTTAGAGGTTGCACCGAATTCCACTTCATAAAAGAAAGAGAGAGACATAGTCAGGAGTTTGTGGAAGTTGCCATGGCTTAAAACAATTCTATGGGACATGCATATCCCATAGAATGAGAATTCTACTGATATGATTACACTTGCCCATTACTGAACATCTGCACAAGTAATACGCCTTTTACTTCCTATAGCTGCCCAATATTTGGCAATAACTTCAAGGTGGTTTTTAAATAGAATCCCATTACGATGACCCTTGGGATATTCTGGTGTTTGGTGCCAGCAGGATTTTTTTACGAGTACCCAATTAGAAATTACATAGGAGTTTGAAAGTGTCGGAGAATGTAAGCTCCACGTGGGTAGAGATTTGTATCTGTGTTATTTATTGCTAAATTTCTAGCACAAATACAGTGTTTGGGTCATATAATAACGATTGAATAAATAGCATTGGGTGAATGAATGAAACACCACTACTGCCTATCTGCTTTCTAACTAAGTGAATAAATGAGAAGGCTATATTCACTAAAATCAGATTTTACTGGTAAAATCCTTAAAATTTCCCTTAATTCAACCCCTTTCTTTTCCAAGTTCTTTCTTTTAGGGAGAGCTTCCTTATTTTGTTTTAGGGTTTAAGCTTGGACAAATGTTTATGATAGCTGATGGGAGAGAAGAAGGAAGTCAAAAGGCAATTGCTATTTGATGTAAAACATAAGAAGAGTGGGTATTTCTTCTCCCTCCCATCCAAACTGCACTGCAGATAAGATCTTCTTAACAGACAGTGACTGCTGTAGGAGAAAGAAGTATGCTTCATTGTAGAACATGTGTAGCTGTCAGATCTATAAAACCCAATTTCTATTTCTAAGGGCTCAACCTTCTTTTGTTTAAAGACAGGATCTCAGGCCGGGTATGGTGGCTCATGCCTGTAATCTCAGCACTTTGGGAGGCCGAGGTGGGTGGATCATGAGGTCAGGAGTTTGAGACCAGCCTGGCCAACATGGTGAAACCCTGTGCCTACTAAAAATACAAAACTTAGCTGGGTGTGGTGGCAGGTACCTGTGATACCAGCTGCTTGGGAAGCTGAGGCAGGAGAATCATTTGAACCCATGAGCCAGAGGTTGCAGTGAGCCAAGATCACACCACTGCACTCTACCCCAGGTGACAGAGCAAGGCTCCATCTCAGAAAAAGAAAAAAAAAAAAAAGACAGGATCTCACTCTGTCACCCAGACTGGAGTGCAGTGGCACAATCATGGCTCACACAGCCTCTATCTGTCCAGCTCAAGTGATCCTCCTTCCTCAGTCTCCCAAGTAGCTGGTACTACAGGTATGCACCACCACACCCAGCTAATTAATTTTTTTGTAGCGATGAAGTCTCACTATGTTGCCTAGGTTCATCTCAAAATCTTCAAACGATCCTCCTGCCATGGTTTCACAAAGTGCTAGGATTACAGGTGTGAGCCATCATGCCCAGCCAATGGCTCAACATTTACGGAACAAAATATTTTAAGATAGTATTCACCGTAATGAAATTTTTAAGCTAAAAAATCCTTTTCTTAAATTCTCTTAAAATAAAATATTCCCCTTCACCACTGTATGTATGAAAGGTGCCATAAAGCACTTCCTCTATTCTCCAGTTCAAAGAGAACAGGAACAGAAATCAGCCAGCTGTTGGCATCATCCTGGACTAAGAGGCTTCGCTTAGCTCTTTCTAGTAAAATCTACATAACATAAACTATGCAGAATATCCACGCACTACCAGTTCCATCACCCAATCCCCACTACAACATATACATTCCCATGCACTCACATACGGTATGTAAGACTCCATTTTAAAGGCTGCTCAAGTATTTAACATTCTTTAGATCCAAAACATTGTATAAGCAATGGATATAGGAAGCAACTTTCCCAAACTGATTGGCTCCTCTCTCCCATCTCCTCTGCCCTCTGTGTCTCCATCCCTCCCCTCCGTACACATCATACCAAGGAGAGAAAAACAGGGCACATTCACAGTTTCCCAAAATAGAGAACTGTCAGTAAAAATTTCGCAAATCATTTCCTGAAAGTTAGTCAATTTTAAGTGCTTAGAATTATAGAACTCCTCCTATAAGTTCAAATGGCTTTGATTTTAAAATATCATAATAATTGTAAGATGGAGGAGGTAAATATGACTAATTCCACCTTCTTTTTTGTTTTTTTGTTTGATTTTGGTTAAGATGGGGTTTCTCCCATGTTGGTCAGGCTGGTCTTGAACTCCTGACCTCAGGTAATCCGCCCACCTTGGCCTCCCAAAGTGCTGGGATTACAGGCATGAGCCGCCATGCCTGGCTCCATCTTCTAAATAAAGCAAGAAGCAAAGAAATCACTGCCAGGAAATTATACAGAATTACAGAAGAATCAAAGAAAAGAATCGGTTTTTTTGAGATCCTTTCCATCCTCTCCTTTGTATGAAATCTTATCAACTCTTTATGAATTTCTTTTATAGAATTTCTGGGTTCATAAATGTTCTCGAACTTGTGAATCAAACACTTGGGATGAATTGTCACTACGCAAGGCCACCGTACAAAAGCCCCTCTCTTGGTGACAGCTTCTCCCTTCATTACGACACAGTCATTCTCCATGAGAGCAGGCCACACGTGATACAGAACTAAGGGAGCAGTGAAATCCGAGTCGTAGCTGCGGCGGTATCTGTTTTAAATACACAAAACAAAAAAGAGAAGTTGAGCAATTATGAAGCATAACTAGGGGGAAACATCAGTGTCAATTTTCATCTTGTATTATGCTCAGATCTAGATAAATATAGATCCTAATTCTGTTATTAAAGAATGGTTGTGGCCTCTTAGAATAGGAACTAATGATAACTGGGACCCAGCATGGATACATTAAGACCAAGTCTTGTCAAACTAATGTATTCCTTCTCTTCTCAGGATTACAGAGTTGCAATTCAGGGAAATGCTGATGACTTAGACTACCTATCTGAAATCCCACTCGGCTTCCCATAGAATTTCTGGTGCTGTCTTTGTGGACAAATAAAAGAAATATAGGAGGATGATTAACTTAAGTAGGTGGATTGGAAACTAAGAAGATGCTGAGGGCTCTCTCTCAATCCTGTGATAAATTATCATGTTTATGAATGACTCATATGAGATATAGAAAACATGCTCAAAGATGCAGGTGATTAGCCACAAAAAAAAAAAGATGACATTAAAAACAGCTCAACAGACTGGAACAATAAGCTGAGTTTAATAAGATAAAATGAAATGTGAATATATTTAAGGTCCTATAATTGAGCCTAAAAAGTATTTGCACAAATAGAGGAGATATATGGTTTAGTCACAGTACAAGTAGAAATATAGCAGGTTTCAGTTGTACTCAAAATGAATGAACACTGTCACAAGAGAAAGACAAAGAGAGGGAGGGAGGGAAGGAGAGAGGGAGGGAGGGGAGGGAGAGAAAGGAGGGAGGAAGGAAGGAAGGAAGGAAGGAAGGAAGGAAGGAAGGAAGGAAGGAAGGAAGGAAGGAAGGGGAAAACTATTGCAAGTTAGCTGAATTAATGGAGACTAAGAATAAACAGAGTGTTAGTCCCTCTAGGCTGGTCAGTTTACTTTCTTTAAAAGGGGTACTCAGAAGAGCACAGTGCACAGATCCCAAAAAAATGAATCTATTTTTCAAGAAATCCCAAACCTACTTCATATGAAGAAAACCTGAAGCCATGAGGCCAGAAGGAGGAGGATTTGAGTAATTGCTTTCAAATGTACAAAAGGCTGCCATGGTGAAAAAAGGGTTAGCCTTGTTTGGTGAAGTTCTAGAAGTAGAATCAAATCCAATCATTGTTAGAAACTCCAATTCCAGCTGCACAGATATCCAGTCTCACGAGCCAGAGAATGCCCTAGAAGCTGCACATGCCCTCTAGTTAAAGGCATATCATCGAGAGGCCCTATGGAAGTCTTTGATATGTGCAGATTCCATAAACTAAAACAGTGAATGGTTCTGAGTGGTACTATCCATCCTCTAAAGGAGAAAGAAATAAAGGGAGACAAATGAAGATAATGTGCTCTGTAGGGGAATCAGAAAGCTCCAACTGCAGTGTAATGTCCTAATGTCAGCTCTTTCGTGAGTTGATGCATGTTGGAGACACCAGAAACCGAGCAGTGGCAAGAAAGTATGGCATGCTGTAAGGCAACTGGAAAGTTCATTATTGCTGTGATTTGCATAAGTGAAAGAAAGTGAATGATTCTGAGTGGTACTATCTATGCTCCTTCATCAACAAGCTTGCAGGAATGCTGGACATAACTCTACAACCTGAATAAGAACCCAGAGTGAATACTTCCTGGGCACCCACTTCATGCCGGGCAGCATCCTAAGTACTTTGTCTGAATTATCTCAACTAACCTTCTACAGCCCTAGGAAGTAGGCATTATAATTTCTGCCATTGGATAGAGAAGAAACTAAGTAATAGAAAAATTAAGTGGCATGCCTAACATTATACAGCTAATAGGTGGTGGAGCTGAAATTTGAACCGAAGCAGCTGAGGCCAGAGCCTATGTTCTTAACCACTAGCTTGGCTTCTTTCCAGATAATCTCCAGCTATATCCTGTGATCTCAAGAAGTCACAATAAAATGTTTTAAATTAATTGAATGTCTTGTAATGTATAAGGGGGATATTTGCCCTGTAAAAGTTGGTAGCAATCTACTGGTCCTAGACAAAAAAGAGTCAAGAGCACCAAGTTTCAAACATTCGTGTGCATAAGGAACACCTGGGTGTTTGTGAAATTGAGAATTCCTGAGCCCCATCTTAGACCTGCTGCATCAAATGCCACGAAATGCAATTCAGGAATGTGTATTTTTAACAAGTACCTTGAGTAACTCTGATGCAGGTGATCCACACATCATACTTTGAGAAATCTGGCCTAAGTAATGCAATGAAAACTAACAGAAAGTAATGTACATTTGTATTTATAGAGCACCTTAAAAAAAAGTGTTCTAGACAGGCTTCAAGTCCTCATTAGTTCTCCCACAAAGACCAACATACTCAATGGAAGATGACGCCAGGAGTGGGTCCTGCCCTGGAGTACAGAGAAGTATATGGTAGGACCTGGAAATCACGTAGTGTCTGCTAATTTCCCCACCCAGAATTCTTTTCCCTAAATTGTTCTCAGGAAACAGAGACAGGACGATGAATTCATGATGAATCCCTTAGCCTCTGCTCCTGTGTCTCTTACTTGCAATCATTAAAAACTTCTCCATCTGCCCCGTATGCAATATCTAGGGGTGGTTCTAAGGCCTGCATTGCAAAGGCAATGCAACATATCTCCTGGATGAAGTCACTGAGGAGACAGAAGTCAACGACAGGAGGGAAGGAAATCTTGGGATTGACATTCATGGCTCGGATCACATCCTGAAAAACAAAAGATGGCATCACTTTGTTACCAACCTGTGTCAAAAACACTCTGACATCCTAAGACTATTAGAACTGATGGGAGGTGGGGAAAGAGTATGTGAGCCAAACAAGTGAAAGCAGAAAAACAGCGTATGTGCTAAAAGCAGAAAGACGTTGCCGCCCATTAACAGGAAAGGAGGAAAGAGGACACAGTAGAAATGACACCGTAAAAGCCAAGAGGGTCCTAAAAACAAAGGAAACAGAACTTCTGTGGCTTTTATTTATCATTTCCCTATTTTCCATTCTGGGCAAGAGTATGATGTGCCAACACAGAATTCTGAATTGTTTATAAACCATAATAATCATTATAATAGTTTGCTTTTACTGAGTGTTAACTCTGGCCAAGTCTTGTGCTAAGCAAACTGCCTACATTCTATCATTTAACGCTCTCAGTGACTCTATGGAGTAACAAACCTTGTTACTCCCACTTAAAGCTGAGAAAACTAAAGCACAGAGAGATTAACTAAGTGTGTAAGATCACACAGCTAGTAAGTGGCAGAGTCAGGAAGCAAATCCATACTTATTTTTCCCCAAATCCTTGCTTTTAAGAACTATGAGATTCTGTCTCCTGAAGAGCCTGTCTAAAGAAACTCAGACAATTTCTTCCCTGTAATATGTTTAAGGAAGAAATAGTCAATAATGGCAGATGCTACCAAGTAAATTGGATGCTGTTCTTCTCTTCTTTTTCATTACATAGAATTAATACTAACCACTGGATGGATTTCTGAGTTATCAGTACTCAATATAAACAGCAGCAGCAGCAGTAACAAACCAGTCCTAATAAGAGACCCAACACTTACACTGACACTGCTTTGGGAATCATAGAGATCAAGGTGACAGACGACATAGTCCGAGACAGCATTCTCAAAGTCATTTGACCCCGCGTAAGGTGGTGTCAACGATTTTCTCACACGGATCTTGAAATGTCTGAATGCCGTTTTTGCTATATGGAATGCCTCCTGCATATAAAAATGCGGCAAATTTATTTGGTGGAAACAGGTAGGTGAAGAGATACAAAGCAAGGAACTAGAAAGAATACAAGCTTCAACATCATAGTGGTTTCCTGATAACTAAACGCAGTCGGTCAAAAACATTTTTAATCTGGAAGGAAATACATCTCCCATTTTGAAAAGTACATAAACACATATATGATCATCCATGCTCACTAATGTCAAGACAGTTGGCCATTATTCTGGAAATTCTGAGTGCAGGAAGCAGGACAGCACAGAGATTGAAGGAAATAAATCCTCTGCTATGAGCTCATAGCAATATCGCATTACTGGTCAAGAAATAAGAGAAAATGATCAGTAATGTTTATGTTATAAACACATATCAAGCCTCAGGCATGTTTCCTGGCATATATTAATTCAACAAATATTTATTAAATGCCTATTGTGTGGTAAGCATTGAGAAAACTCACTTATGCCAGGAAGATGTGGCCTGCACATTTACAGAGCTTTAACTCAGTAAGTGGTTCTTAATTATCTAAACCAGGGGACAGCAAATGTTTTTCTATAAGGAGCCAGACAGCAGATATTTAGGCATGTTGGGCTACATAGAGTTTCTGTCTTTTTTGTTGTTGTTGTTGTTGTTAACAACCCTTTAAAAATCTAAATACATTCTTACATTCTTAGCTTTCAGGCAGTAGTATTTCTCTTAGAAATACGAGTCAGGGCTGAATGTGGTGGCTCATGCCTGTAATCCCAGTACTTTGGGAGGCCAAGGCAGGTGAATCACGAGATCAGGAGTTCAAGACCAGCTTGATCAACATGGTGAAACTCTATCTCTACTAAAAATACAAAAATTCTCTGGGTGTGGTGGCGCACATCTATAATCCCAGCTACTCAGAAGGCTAAGGAAGGAGAATCACTTGAACCCAGGAGGCAGAGGTTGCCAGGAGTCAAGATGGCAAGATGGCACCACTGCACTCCAGCCGGGGCAACAGAGTAAGACTCCATCTCAAAAAAAAAAAAAAAAAAAGAAAAAGAAAAAGAAAAGAAATATGAGCCAGGTCATGGTTTGCTAACCCCTGATTTAAATAAATATAGGATAAAGTTCAATGTTTCTGATAATTCTGCTCTCATACCAATGTTTTGTTCTGTTTCTTAATATTCAACAATTCTCCTTATGAACTCTCAGGATCTTAGTATGGTACCAACCCATAATACAAACATATTTGCTTTGGAAATTAAGGATACATATGTGCACTTTTTAAATTTTTTAATTTGCCATACTCAAATAGCTGATATGTTAGCAGTTTTACTAACTATTCTTAATTAAATAAACAGAAGAATTAACACAATCACAACCTTCTGATTTTCTTTTAGAACTGAAGGAAACCAAATGACAGACATTGACAATACCACATCCACTGTGTGTACATATGTCCATATTAGAAAAAAGGTACAGTGCAAATCAACTTTGTATAAACCCATTCAAGATAGTCCTGCATTTATGGCATTTGTGGCTACTTCTTAAACACCTGGTCAATGTAACTAACTAAATAAATAAATAAATATTATAGAACCATTCTATATATGTAAATAGTTATTGACTGTGAAAATGATTCACCCCTCCTAAATATTTGTAATGAAAGGGAAGGCAAAGAAAGGGAAGGAAGAGAGGAAGGAAGAATGAAGGAAGAAGGGAGAAATGAAGGAAGTAAGGAGGAAGGGATGGAGAGAGAGAGAGAGGGAAGGTGAGAGGGAGAGGGAAAGACAGAAAGAGAAGAAGGAAAGAAAGCAGGGAGGGAGGAGGGAGAGGGGAGAGAGGAAAAAAGGAAGGAAGGGGAAAGGAATAAGAAAGGGAGTGAGGGAGGAAGGAAGAAAGAAGAGAAGGAAGGAGACAGATGGAGAGACTGAAATCTCTCCCACTTCAGTGACCTCAGGATCCACTAGTCTTTGCAAGTTGTTCGAGTCATGTTACCCAAATATGTCTCCTGGCTGCCCCAAGGAGCCGGGAGTCCCGCAGGTGTCACATACCACTGTGGCTATGTAGATGATCCGCTGCACGGTCTCAGCCTTGTCAATGCAGCGCCGCAGCAGGCACTGAGCATCCAGGCGGGCCTGGGAATAGGAGTCGCTGAACCGGGACAAGAGAGCAGCCTTGCGCCCCACACTGGACAGCTTGGAGCGGTTTGGGGACGGACTCCTGACCTTGACAGTGGTGGAGGGGCTGGCAGATCCACTGTGGCTGCGAGAGGCAGGGCTAGGAGACCGGCTCCTGGAGCACCTGTTGATGAGCAAGAATCAGCCAGGGAAACCCTTTGATTTGCTTCTTGAGTAGAGCAAAGATCACCTGGTGGCCATCAATCCGACCATCCAGAGGCAAAACCCCTCATCTGAGGAATTCAGACGTGATAAGACTTCCCTGTTATCTAAAGCCAGAATCTGGTATCAACTTCCTTTACCAAAAATTTATAAGTAACTAGAATTTCTATAAATCTCCAGAATGCATGCATGTTCAAAACCCATTGTACAATCTTTGCTGACATCAAGGCACCAAAATGTCTACAAATGCAATCATTTATCATGGCCCATGTGATAAATGTGGCCCAAATTACCTTAAGCTTCCACTTTAAGCTCCATAAAGAACCCTAAGGAAAATCCACCGCAGTGCTCAGTCCTCTCTAGCTGAAGTCCCCACTGCACTCTGTTGCAGCCTTCTTTCTAATAAAACTTTCCTATTCAAACCTATTGTTGCTGGTGAATTGTTTTTACCATCTGCAAGCCAACCACTCTCTGCTACCAGGGCTCTGATACTATGCCTCGCATCTTGGTGGCCATACGCGGACTTTACTGGAATTTCCCCTTCCTTTTTCTCCATTTCCCTTGATGGTGTGGTTCTTTACCCTTGGAAACTGACACTCCCTGGTGAGTTCAGTCTTTGGTGGGATCCCAAAGCCCTAGAGACGGAATACCTGTCTATCAGTGCTCTTAAGGGTGAGGGACTAGCCAGGGCTCTTTTCTGCTTTTGGATTGCCAGTGAACTAGCTTGAATACTCTTTAGTGACTGATGGTTTCCTGCCAAGGACACTCCCCAGTGTTACCCAAAGGCCAAGACAAAAGAGTTGATTTGCTATTGCCCATCAGGGTGGTAAGTCCACTTTCACTTAACATTGTGTGAACCACACCTTGGAAATGAGCAGTGGAGTTCTCAATTCTGCACAGACACTCTCTACCATTGTTGACTCAATTTTGGATTCAACTTTGGTGCAGACATCGCATCCCAAGTTACAGGTGAGTTCCCTTTCACAAATAGGTTTAAGCTGACCACTCAAACAACGGCACAGCCAGACCGGTCATCCAGGCAGGGGCAGGCCCTCTATCCCCCAAACAGAGTGAACCAAAGGGAAAAGGAAGGTCCAGATCCCTCAGGAATTTGGGGACCTTGTAGTCCTTTATCTAAACCCAACATAGGTTCTCTTTATTCTTCAGTTCCATCCAACTCACCCTTGGGTTGCATTCATGAAAAAATCAGTCCATTTTAACCCATACACTCTCAAAAAGAAGGATATCATTTTCTTTTGTAATCCCTAATAAATCAAATTGGCCTATTAATGGAACTTTGGATCACAATATTATTTTACAACTAGACGATGCATTTACCATAACCTCGAAAAGGATTCATAGGTCCCATATATTCAGGTCTTTTTAGCTTTATCTCAAAACCCAGAGTTACATAAAAATTTTCATCTATCCTTCCAAGGAATTTCCTCCTTCCCGATTCTGGTGTCTTAGATGATCCTTTTGCCTATCACACTGTCCTCTGCCTGCTCCTCCTTCACCTACACTCTCTCCATCTGCTCCATCCCCTAATCAACCACCCCCATATCCAAATACTTTATCCCTCTCAGATGCTCGCACAGGAGTCACATATGCCACTAGTGCAGAGTCCTCGGAAAATCCCAAAATGTTTTGCCTCTCTGCGAGGTGGCTACTTGAGATTTAGGGGCAATCCAAGTTCAGATCCCTTTTCTAATGTCTGATCTTTCGCAAATTCAACCAAGTCTGAGTTCATTTAGTTAGAATCCCTCTAAGTTCATTCAAGAATTTCAGGCTTTAACTATTGCCTTTGATTTAACCTAGCAAGAAATATTTGTGGTATTAACTACTTGCTGTTCCCATGAAGACAAATCACACATACGGCCAAGTTCGGGCAGATGAAGCTCATGTTCTTAATCATCACAATGATAAAGCCAGGGCAGAAGATGTCCCCGACACAGAACCCAATTGGCAATACCAGGACACTGATGCCAGCCCAAACAGAGGCAGGAGCAAACGAGATTACATGATCTCTTTTTTGTTGGAAGGAATGAAAAAGGCAGTAATAAACTTTTAATTTTTTTTAAATTATGAGAAATCACTCAGGAGCCATCTGAGAACCTCATCCTTTTCTAAGCTACGTTGGTGCAAGTTTTGACCCCAAAATCCCTAAGGGCATACCCATTCTGGCAATACATTTTATAAGTCAGGTTTCCCCAGACCTCAGACAAAAACTCCAAAAATTAGAGCTAGGCCCACAAATTCCCTTTCTTACTTTATTAAATGTAGCCTTTAAGGTTTTCAATAATCAGGAGGAAATATCAAAAATAAAAAGTGTTCAAAGAGGAAAAATGCCGGCGCCACAATAATTGCATGGTGACAGCAATGGCACATTCTTTTTCATTAGCCAATAACCCCAAGGCTCATCCCCATAACACTAACAGAACAGGGGCCTGTATCGCTGCAGAAATCCAGGACACTAGAGTAGAAAATGACCAAAACCTCCAGGCTACAAACTGCCCCAGGACCCTGTCCTCATTGCAAACAGAGCATCAATGGAAAAGTGAGTGTCCCTCCCTCCCTCGAGATGGAGAGGCACTTCTTTCTCCTAAGATCACAGCCACAACCTCACCAACATACCTGACAAGGGGGTACTGTAGAACGAGGACACGAGGAAGGACAAGCACCTCTAACTCTATTCCTGGATTATAACCAAGCCTCTGAAAGTCATCCTCTGGTTGACTGATGAGGCCTTGGGTCCTTCCAGGCCCTTGTCTTTTCCATTTCTATGGATGAGCCTTGGGTAAATCTAATTGCAGCTGAGCAAGTCTTCTCACCACACCTTCCTACTCCAGTCATTTCTCTCCATGCTGGTAAAATGGAAACGTCTCCACCTTTATGTGATCTTATTACTTCCCCCACCATCCATACTCATAGTATCATTGTAATTTTTAAAATTTGTAATGTTACTTTGGGATGTATAACTGTTATAATGATACTCCTGTGGGTGACATTAACCCATTTAAGGGCTTAGCCTCTTACAACAAAACTCTGAATCTATCTCATCACTGCTGATTTTTAAGCCTTTTAAATGAACTAATCTAGTAAGGCCTCCAGTATACACCACCTCTTGCACTCCTAATACCATTCATGTATGTTACTATAATGATATAAACAATGTGGTAAATAACCATCATGCCACTTATATCCTATCCATTGCACATACACTTCCCTGGTTTTAAACACCATCGCCATGTCCCCCATCCCCCAACCAATTGGGACATTAACATGACTTCTCCTCTGGTATGGGGCCTCTCAAAAACTGTCAAAGTCCCCTTTCTTTTGTTTTAGACATTGTAATCAAACCAATAATACTCTATTACCTGCCCGTCCCATCCTGAGCTCTTATGGCTTTGCAGTACTGCTAAAAATTATTTAAACCCTTTTCAAGCTTTGGCTTTATTTCACCTTCAAAATTCTCTTTATTATGGTGTTTGTGCTCCGGGTACAATAGCTCCCACCCAAATCACTGTCTTGAACATAACTTCCAATCTAGAATCCCATTCTAGAAGAAAAAGGGCCCCAGGACTTATTGTAGCCAGAGCTGTGGGAATTATTGCAACTCTTGCCCCTTGGGGAGGTTTTACTTACCGTAAAATCACACGATGAAAACTTTTCACCTCCCTTGAAATACTGGCAAATCCTGGCCTTAGCAAATACTGGTGCAAGTCTATCATTGCTAGAAAAGTCTTAGGCTCACTAGCAGGAATGGTTTTTGAAACAGCTCTATATTATCTCCTAGCTGACAAGGAGGCAACTGTGCTGTCATCAGTTAAACGTCTTGATCTACACTAATGTGTCAGGAAAAGTGGAAACTCATGTCCGAGAAATTTTCAAAGAAGCCAAATGGCTAAACACACTCTCCCAAAGTAACCAAAACTGAGTCAAAACCTTTACTGATTGGTTTCCAAAAATTCCTTGGCTCAATCATAGCTCACTGCAGCTTCAAACTCCTGGGCTAAAGAGTTCCTCCTGCCTCAACCTCCAGAGGATATAGGACCACAGGTATACCCAGCTAATTTATTTATTTTTTTAACGTTTTTTTAGAGATTAGTTCAGCCATGATGCCCAGGCTGGTCTAGAACTCCTGGACTCAAGCAATCTTCCCTGCCACAATCTCCTAAGTAGCTGGAATTCCCAGTTTTCACATATATAACTTTTGCCCTATTTTAGGGTGGAGGTGGGGATTGGAAGGTCAGATAAGCAAACACATGTGGAAGTACTGAGTGTATTATAAACTACTGTGTCAGTAAAAAGTATGTTGCTCTCAAGTATGAAGCAAGTTCTCAGACTAGCTAGCCCAAAGTAAATGGGTCTCCAAAAAGGGAGGTTTTACAGAAGAAACTATCTGACGAAAGGTAATGCAAAACTGAGTACAACAGCCAGGGGGTTGGGTTGGGTGTGGGGAGATGCATTTATGGTGTTTGCCAATTTCCTTTGTGTAAATACTACCACCATGTCTGACAGGCACAGAATTGGTTCTTGGGAGCCAGTATAAGTTGGCACAAACACAACACTAACAGAATGATTCCCCAAAATTAAAGATTATGACATTTAGACAATGGGAATGGGGGGCTCTCATAGCCTGCAGCAGGACACGTTAGGGGCTTCAGGGGGGTTGTTAAAAACAAGGGTAATGCAGAGACTCCAGAGAAACATCTACTTTGTCCTTACTTGATGACTTGTCTTAACATCTGTGCATCAGTACAAAGGGATTTCAAAAGAACACTTCACTTACACATGCCATCAAAGTCAGATATAAAAAGGAAATGCCCTGCAGTAAAATGGACAGCATCCCTGGAGAGAGAGACGGCATCCCTGCAGTAAAATGGACAGTATCCCTGGAGAGAGAGAGAGACAGCATCCCTGCAGTAAAATGGACAGCATCCCTGGAGAGAGAGAGACAGCATCCCTGCAGTAAAATGGACAGCATCCCTGGAGAGAGAGACAGCATCCCGGTAGTAAAATGGACAGCATCCCTGGAGAGAGAGACAGCATCCCTGCAATAAAATGGACAGTATCCCTGGAGAGAGAGAGACAGCATCCCTGCAGTAAAATGGACAGCATCCCTGCAATAAAATGGACAGCATCCCTGGAGAGAGAGAGACAGCATCCCTGCAATAAAATGGACAGTATCCCTGGAGAGAGAGAGACAGCATCCCTGCAGTAAAATGGACAGCATCCCTAGGGAGAGGCCTCCCAGGCCTTAGAGAAAATAACCCTCATATTACAGAGTATTCTTTCCACGTGGGTACTACCTCTTGTACCACAGGCCCACACAAATCTGGTTTCAAGCCAAAAAACTTTCCTTATGGTCGGGCATGGTGGCTCATGCCTATAATCCTAGTTTTGGGAGGCCAATGCAGGGGGATTCGAGACCAGCCTGGCCAACATGGCAAAACCCCATCTCTACTAAAAATACAAACAAAATTAGCTGGACATAGTGGTGTGCGCCTGTAATCCCAGCTACTCGGAGGCTGAGGCGGAGAGAATTGCTTGAACCCAGGAGGCGGAGGTTGCAGTGAGTGGAGATCGTGCCACTGCACTCCAGCCTGGGCGACAGAGCAGCATTCCGTCTAAAAAAAAAAAAAAGAAAAGAACTTTCCTTCCACATATCTCACAGCCCAAAGTTAAATTAGTGTCCCAGTCCTGGCAAGCCAGGAAGTATTTTCTCTCTGGAAGGGGGGCAGTTAAGAAAACAATCCCTTGCCAGATTGGTGAGGTTTTGGTTCAGGGTATCATTTTACTTATTCCCCCCAGCCCCTTAACTCATCAAAAAAAAAAAAAAAGCTTAAATGAGAAGAACTTCGAGTTTGTCTGACCTTCCCTGGAGTCCAGATTTCTCAGCAGACAGAACAGCTCTCTCCTCCTTCAGGTTTTGGAGCGGTTTCTCATAATCGGATGTGGCTTCTGTGTCCCGCCGCTCTGCGTTCCGCTTGACTGAGCTCCTCTGTTCAGACCTCTGCTGCTCTGAGCTCCGAGGCTCCCCTGGCTTCCTCTCTGAGCTCCTGTGATCTGTGTTTCTGTGGCGAGCCTCCTCCTGGGCTTGAAGAGATTTAAGCCTGAACAGCAAAGAGAGAAGGCAGAGAAAGGGAAGAGAGAAGAGAGTGAGGGAAGGAAAAGGCAATAAGCAGCAATTGGGATGCTTAACCACAGACGCTACTCTACTCAGCCTGCCATTATTGCTTTGGGAAACTCTGATGGAAAACAAATTAGCAAGGAGCAGAACAGACAGGGTCAGGGTGCCACTCCATGTCTGCAGATTGCATAGGGAAAAGTTCCTAAAGAAAGGACACTCATGCAGAACAGTGGGCCCAGAGTCATACTGTCCCACGTTGGACAGATCTTAACTGCACAAAACTCTGAAAACATTTGCCCTCCAAAAGCTATTCAGGAAGCTGGTCTAAAATATAATCTCCTACCCTCACTAGTTCTTTAATTCTCTGAATAGTCTCAACTCTATTTTTAATATATTACTTGGAATATTTAATATTAATTAGAATCTTTGATTCTCTGAAGAGTTGGAATATGAGAGAAAACTATAATGGAAATTGAATAACATCCAAAACACTAGCTGAAAGTGTGAACCTATGAAAATAATGTAGAAAAAACACACAAAAAAAGTCTTTAGAAATAAAATTGGCATCCTCATTAAGATACAAAGAGGCATGGCCACCATAAAACAAGAGCAAAAGCCATAAGAAGAGAATATGCTGTGATGAAAATGACAAGGGTGTAAGCTGAAAAGGTAAGATTAATAAGATAAGGAAGTTAATGAGATTAAGAAGATGCAAAGAAGCTGAAGATGTAATGGAAGGAAAAGCTGCACTACAAATAGGAACAAAATCGGAGCTATAGGAAATTGATGAGTAATATGATTGATGGATTTGAGAAAGGACAACAAATAGGAAATTCAAGATTAAAATGATGGGGAGGGGGAAGACAGAAGTAGAAAACAGAACAGTGTTCCTAGGTAAGATCTATGGGTGTTCCTAACAAAATCAGAACTGGAACACCTCTAAGGATAATCAAAAGGCGTGTGTGTGTGTGTGTGTGTGTGTGTAAAATACACCTCCCACTTACTCTTTTGGGAGGGGGATCAAAATTAAAATCCAGAAAGGCATAACCTTAAAAGATCAATGTTTATTTTCCCCTTCTAGAAGTTCATCTTTAAGGAATAATCTCATAATTCAACTGAGATTTTCTACAAAAGTTATCCCAATATTATTTCCAATGTTAAAAATTAGTATACAAGTAAATATTCAATATGAGGGAAATACCCAGATGATGGAACATGATGAACCTATTTAAAACTAACTTCTGCAGTATGTTTTTCTTAGTGATAGAGGAAAACAATGTCAGGTGAAAAGTTAGGATCCAGAATTATATACTTACATACTTTATTCTGTAGTCTCAGCTCTATTTTTAATACATTGATTGGAGAGAATGTAATATAGTAACAATCACTGGTTCTGGAATTATGAAAGGGTTTTTATATTCCTTTATACCATGTTGTACTTTGGAAGTTTTCCATAGTAGATAAGCAATATTTTTGTACTAAATATAAATATAATTAATAAAAATACTTCTGCCTTTTCTCTCTGATGGTGAACAGATTCTTTCATGTTGTAATGGAGCACAAAAAACCTAAGTTCAATGATTTAGGCTGCAATAATCCTGTAAATTTTTTTCTTACTGCTTTTTTAGCTGATTTATTTCCTCCTCTGCAGCCAAAAGGGATATGGCCGATCTGTTCTTGGTTTCTTCAAGATTCTTTTCCGTTTCAGCCAGACTGTAAGAGAAATCAGTAACTAAAGACAGATTTTTCAAAATTGGCAGACTTTCTAAATCAAGGCAGAGGCTCACTTAGGAAATTTTGGTCTATGACATAAATTCAACATAAGTAAGATCAAGTTAAAAGACATCTGCATTCAATCAGGTTATGTTGGAAATATTGTGGTGGACTTGTATGCAAAAACATGCTAACATCCTTTGCTCAAATGTCAAACACTAGGAAACTATAGAGCTACTGCCCCCAAAAGACTATTAGTATTAGAAAATAAAGGACAAAGAAACCTGTTCAATTTCTCCTTCTCAACCTCCTAATTCATTTGCTCTCATTGCAGCAAAGCCCCAGGTTGCTTCTCTCTACAAAATCTCCATTTTTCTACAATATACCAAACATTGATATTCATTACTTTGCACTGTGGAGCTGCAGACTTCCTAAATATTAAAAATAATCATAATAATAACATCCTCACCTATAAAGTCCTCACAATCACCCTTGACTATCAGCTACTCACGTCTTCCTGCCTCTGGCTTTACCTCTTATTGAGCACAAATTCTCTGAGTTTTCTCTGTATCTCTGTCATAGTTAGTTTCAAATCTCCTTCATGGTAGACAAATCATTATAAATCTTATTATTTAAGTCTATCTAATTTAAAATAAGTGAAGCTGGGTGCAGTGGCTCACGTCTGTAATTCCAACACTTTGGGAAGCCAAGGCAGGAGGATCTCTTGAGCTCAGGAGTTCAAGACCAGCCTATGCAATATAGTGAGACCTTGTCTCTATAAAAATAAAAATAAAATTAGTCAGGCATGGTGATGTGTACCTGTAGTCCCAGCTACTTAGGAGGCTGAGGTGGGAGAATCTCTTCAGACTAGGAGTTTGAAGCTGCAGTGAGCTATGATTGTGCCTCTGCACTCCAGCCTGGGTGACAAGAGTGAGAGCATGTCTCAAATAGAAAAAAGGAAGTGAGATGGATGATATTGAATGAAGACCAATGGTCCTCAATAAAGTTGCCCCAGAACAGTGAGACTTGAGTTGACAAAGTCTTCTTGACTTCTCTGACCCTGCGAGAGATCACAGCACTTTTCCTGAGGCTAAGAGAGTGCAACTGCCTATCAAACTCACACCAGCCTTTCTCCTTCCCTCTGGATGGAAGAACAGTGGAAGGCAAAACACTGGGATTTTCACTTAGAGAGTGAAGCAGACTGAGAAATAATGTGCTAACAGCACTGTCAATCCCAGAGATCCTATCCCCCACCTGCTTCCTCCCCTAATAAATGCCCACTCAGCAAGGGCCTTCCACACACTATCCCCAACTCTCCGAAACGAAGCTTGTCTCCCATTCTCTGAGCTCCATTCACATTTGCGTCATTGCATTCACACTCTAAACTATTTGAGGAGAATGATTTTATTTTATTCATCTCTACCCCCGACACCTAAACAGTGCCTGGCACACAGTATATTTTTTTTATGAGAAATGAATGAATGAATGAAATGTCTAAAGATGAAAAGAAGGCCACAGTAGCATTAACTTCATAATATGGCTATTGGAGATTGAAAGGAAACTAGTATGATTTAATTCAAATATAAAGATGTAATGGGTTTTTTAAAGTAAATATGGGAAAATGAACATTTATATCAAGAGAAAATGAACTGTAGAAAACGGGCCAAGAAAAGAAGGAAAATACAAGCAGGAATGAAGAACTTGGGTATTTTTCTCCTAACACATTCTAGCGCATGCACATACAAGCAAACACACATGCTGACTTCACATGTGTGGATGACATACAGAGAGAAGAAAGAAAAGTACATTCATATGCCAAGAATTGTTTTAATCAGGCTGGAATTCTATTGAAATGTTTTGCTGCATATCTGTTCATTCATTGAGCAGATTATCGAGGACTTACTCTGAGCCAGGCATGATGCTCAGTACTAGAGATACAACAGTGTCAGACAGCAATGCAAGACAGTAGCCCTTTGGATCTTCAGGCTAGTCAGGGTGATAGATCATAAATACGCAAGCAAGTTTATTTTTTAAGTCCCCAGTTGTGACTTCACTCTCTAACTTTTCTCATGAGTGCTATTATGAGAAAAGTAGATCACCATGAAAGAGAATTAAAGGTGAGAAGAGAGACCTTTTAACGTATGGTAGCCACAGAAGGACTCTGAGAAAGTCACATTTAAGCTGAGACTTGGAGGATAATAAAGAGCCAGGCAGGCAAAGAGCCAGTGGAAGACTGGAAAGTTCTTTCAGGTAGTGGAAGAGCACAGGCAAAGTCCTCAAGGTTAGGAAGTAGAGAGTAGACTGGGCCGGGGGAAAGTGACATGAAATGACACTGGAGCAGAAAAACAAGAGGGGTGCTATGAGAGCCCGCAGGAGAAATTTAGAATTTTTTTCTAAGTATAAAAGGAAGAGACCACTTAAACAAGCTTATAAGAAAAAACACCAAACAACTCCATCAAAAAGTGGGCAAAGGACATGAAGAGATGCTTCTCAAGAGAAGACATTTATGCGGCCAATAAACATATAAAAACAAGCTCAATATCACTAATTATTAGAGAAATGCAAATCAAAACTACAGAGAGACACCATCTCATGCCAGTCAGAATGGTGATTATTAAAAAGTCAAGAAACAACAGATGCTGGCAAGGCTGCAGAGAAATAGGAACTTTTTCACACTGTGAGTGGGAATGTAAATCAGTTCAACCATTGTGGAAGACAGTGTGGTGATTCCTCAAGGATCTATAACCAAAAATATCATTTGATATACCCAAAGGAATATAAATAATTCTATTATAGATACATGTATGTTTACTGCGGCACTCTTCACAATAGCAAAGACATGGAATCAATCCAAATGCCATCAGTGATAGACTGGATAAAGAAAATGTGGTATATATGCACCATGGAATACTCTGCAGCCAAAAAAAGAATGAGTTCATGTCCTTTTCAGGGAAATGGATGAAGCTGGAAGCCATTATCCTCAGCAAACTAACACAGGAACAAAAAACCAAACACTGCATGTTCTCACTCATAAGTGGGAGCTGACAATGAGAACACAGGGAGGAAAACAATATACACTGGGGCATGTTGGGAGTTGGGAGGAAGGAGAGCATCAGAAAAATAGCTAATGTATGTGGGGCTTAATACCTAGGTGATGGGATAATCTGTGCAGCAAACCACCATGGCACATGTTTACCTGTGTAACAAACCTGCACATCCTGCACGTGTATCCCAGAACTTAAAATAAAATATGATGTAATATTTTTAAAAGGAGGAAACTGCTTTCAATCAGAAGGATGACTTGATACAATAAAAATATATATATATTTGCTAAGTGAAAAATGGATGGTGGTTGAGCAAAAATTGAAGTGGGGAAGCCAGTTAGAAGGAAGGCAATTGGTTCAAGAAAGAGATATCAGAGGCTTGAACCAGGGCAGCTGTGGCAGAATAGAAAGAAAGGGGCAAGTGTGAAAGTTTAGGGGGCAGTTTCAGTTGGACAATCTGATAGATTGTATATAGGAGAGAAGGAAAAGCAAGATTCATAACCAGAATCCAGGTATAAAATCTAGAAGTCTTCCCTTGCCTGGGGTTTCATCAAACCTGTGCAGAGTTGTGGCCATTAGGCCATAGTTATTGGAATTTGCTTTTTGGAACCAAGTCAGAACCAAACCAGTCTCCACAAGATTAGACAAAGGGAACCTCCTTGGGTGGGCCATTCATTCCATAGTCAGCAGCACCCCAGCTTAAGAGACAAGGAGGCAATGTAAGGGAAGGAAGAGAGAGTTGGTTACCACAGAATGTGGAGAACAAATTCTTTTAGTCGTACCTTAAATTTAAAAATAGAATAAGAACCACAGGTGGGTTAAAACTAAACAAAGTGGAGAAAGGACACCCTATTCAACAAATGGTCCTAGGAAAACTGGGAAGCCACATATGAAAGAATGAAACTGAAACCTCTCACCTTATGCAAAAAATCAACTCAATATGGATCAAAGACTTACATCTAAGAGCTGAAACCATAAAAATTCTAGAAGATAACATTGGAAACTCTGTTAGATAGTGGTTTAGGCAAAGAATTCATGCCTAAGAACCCAAAAGCAAATCCAACAAAAACCAAAATAAATAAATGGAACCTAATTAAAAAGCTTCTGCACAGCACAAGAAACGAAGAAACGAAAATTTCTGCTCAGCAGAGTAAACAGAGAACCCACAGAATGGGAGAAAATATTTGCAAACTATGCATCTGACAAAGGACTAATATCTGAAATCTACAAGGAACTCAAAAAAAATCAGCAAGAAAAAACAATTAATCCCATTAAAAAGTGGGCAAAAGACATGAATAGACAACCCTCAAAAGAAGATATACAAACAGCCAATACACCAATACACATATTTTAAAAATGCTTAAAATCACTAATTATCAGGAAAATACAAATTTAAATCACAATGCAATACCATCTTACTCCTGCAAGAATTGTCATAATTAAAAAATCAAAAAATAATAGATGTTGGCATGGATGTGGAGAAAAAGGGAACACTTTTATACTGCTGGTGGGAATGTACAACCACTATTGAAAACAGTATGGAGATTCCTGAGAGAACTAAAAGTAGAACTACCATTTGATTCAGTAATCCCACTACTGTGTACCTACCCAATGAAAAAGAAGCCATTATATGGAAAAGACGCATGCACATGCATGTCTATAGCAGCACAATTCGCAATTGCAGAGATATGGAACCAACCTAAATGCACATCAGCTAATTAGTGGATAAAGAAAATGTGGTATATATACACCATGAAATACTATTCAGCCATAAAACGAAATGAAATGATGGCCTTTGCAGCAACCTGGATGGAGCTGGCAGCCATTATTCTAAGTGAAGTAACTCAGGAATGGAAAACCAAATATCATATGTCCTTACTTAAAAGTGAGAGCTAAGCTATGAGGATGCAAGGGCATAAGAATAATATAATCGACTTTGGGGACTTGGAGGGAAAGGTGTGGAAGAGGGTGAGGCATAAAAGACTGCACGTTGACTATAGTGTACACCACTCAGGTGACAGGTGCACCAAAATCTCAGAAATCACCACTAAAGAATTTATCCATGTAACCAAATACCACTTGTTCCCCAAAATCTAGTGAAATAACATAAAAATAAAAATAAAAAACTAAACTAAGAAATCCAGGGGAAAGTGTCAAGCACCTTCATGGATGCAACTTTCAAATGGTTGAGGGAGAGAATACATACAGAGAGCGAAGGCACCCATAAATGATAAAGCAAATAGGGCCAAAGTTATATGAAAGGGTATTGGATACTTTTAGTGCTATTCTAGAAGATTTGCTGTGTTTGACATTTTTTTCAAATGAAAAGTTTTTTTTAAGCATGCATTAAGTTTCTTGACCCATGGTGCCCCTTACAGGTAACAACAGTGTCACTGAAACAGACAGAGAAGTGGGAAACCCTGGCCCTTATTGGTGCCAACAGCCATCAAGAACCAGTGAAGTCTTGATGCACTTCCTCACAGCTAGAGGAAAGTGGAGGGTCATCTGCAGCAGTTGCTAGCTAATGTCCCAGGAAACCTAACCAGACCAGACATGCACAACTCAGGACCCATCAGCACAAGACACTAGTGCCTAGATGAAACCAAGGCCAGCAAGAACCCAGAGGGCAGTACAAGAACGAAAACTCCTCACGTCCATCACCAGGAGAATATGCAAGCATCCCTTCCCTAGGAAGGATGAGGGGAAAGGAGACCCCATGAGGGGCCAAAAACAGGCTCTTAATGCATGTTTGTACTTGGAATGAACTGAATGTTTAGAGAAAATGGACTACGATAAACCAGAAATGACTGTGTGACCTTGAAGTGGCATATTGAAGGATCCTCCAAAATGAGCTGACATTACTTGAAATAAACCGTAGAAGATTTTATGCTTTTTGCATATTACATTTATAAATTTTGAGTGCTTCAGGTATATAACAGCTCATTGATTATGACTCCAATTGGAAAAATGAATGGGTGTGTGTAGAGGTGCAGGCACAAAAAAATGTCTGGAGCAAAATATACTAAAATGTTAATGGGGACAAGAAAACAGGTGATTTGCATCATATTTTTATTGTTTGCATTTTGAGAAATAAATGGGTATTAGTTTTATAATCAGGCAAAATTAAATCAATAAAAATTTTTTTCCTTAGATAAAAGGAAATGTCAGAGAACAAGGCAGAGCACCACACATTATTCCAGCCCAAGCCTTAACTAGCTATTAATTTTTTAAAAAACAGCTTCCTTTCTGTCCCACTATGTCAGCAATGAAGCAGTGCTGGGGTAGGACGAACTCCCATTGATGGATTTTTGTTAGGTATGTCAAACACAGTTTCATACGTTTTTGTTACCTTCCTCAGGGACAAACCCAAAGTCTGCAATTTTCTTTGCAGTGATTCCCTAAGCTTGCTACCTGGCCCTGCCCTTAACATGCATCTGATATCTGTTGTTGCCTGGCATTTAACTTTTTAAAAATATATTTTTCTACCTAATAGCTATTCCAAAGTCTTGAATTCTTCCTTTCTTAAAAGAACTGACTCTCTCAGATTCAGAGAGGCACACATACTCCCCTAAATGAGTGTAATGGACAGGTCTCCTGGACCAGGTATCATAATACAGATATACTGTCCCCAAATCCGCAGACTCTAAACCCTCTCTCTCTCTCTCTGTCATACACAGACACACACACAATCATATTACTTATTTGCAAATGCCCACATTTCACATGAGCCATTATTCTCCTTTAAAATTTAAAACTTAATTAAATTGAAAACAATTCTTTTTGGAAAAAGATAACTTGCATTCCTCTTACTTGTCTTGAACCTGGCTGAGTTGACTCCAGGTTGAGTTCAAATTAGCATCTAATTGTTGTGCATCCCAATCCTGACGACTGGGATCTTTACGTCTCTCCCTGTCAAACGTGTCCTGGAAAGATAGACACACACACACACCAAAAAAAACACAGTCTGAATACATGAAATAGCATAGAGGAATTCGGGGAAAAAAACAGTCCAACTCAAAAGAACACATAATGTCCAGCTCCAAGCACATGAAGTTCTTGTGCAGACAAAATTAATTTAGAGTGATAAAAATCAGGGGATGGTTGCTCTGGGGAAGGTGTAAGAAAAGCTCTGGAGTGATGGAGATGTCTGATATTCCGACAGGGATGTGAGTTTACACAGGTATATGCATTTGTCAAAACAGCAATCTATGGATTTCACTGAATATAATTTATACCTCAATATCCAAAAAGATTTTGAAACATCATTCTACATCTCTATACCTAGAATAACACCCACAGAGGGTAAAAATCTGAGGAGCATCCAAAAATTCTCAGGGAAAAAAGAATTTACATAACAACAACTTAAGTCTATAAAGTACTTAACATATGCCAGGCCCTGTGCAACTTGTTTAGGGTGCTTATCACATTTAATTCTCACAAATGACCCTATTAGGTCAGCAAAACCATCGGCCCCATTCAGCAAATAAGGAAATTGAGGCAGAAACACTTAGATACCTACCCAGAGCCATAAAAGAGGAACTGGTTTTCTGCTCAGTGATCTCCAAGCAGGGATCCTTCAGCCCCTATATTATAAGGCTCTTGCTCAGAACACACTAAATGTTTTCTTTTTATTATTATTATTTTTTACTTTAGGTTCTGGGATACACATGCAAAACTTGCAGGTTTGTCACATAGGTGTATGTGTGCCATGGTGGTTTGCTGCACCTATCCACCTGTCACCTAGGTTTTAAGCCTGGCATGCATTAGCTATTTGTCCTAAGGCTCTCCCTCCCCTCATCACCCCCACCCCACAACCCCCCAGCAGGCCCTGGTGTGTGTTGTCCCCCTCCCTGTGTCCATGTGTTCTCATTGTTCAACTCCCACTTATGAGTGAGAACATGCGATGTTTGGTTTTCTCAGAACAGAATAAATGCTTTCTAAATGCTTCCATTTTAGAAATGATTATAGGTGAATCCACATAAATGTTTAAAAGTAAAGTAACAGATGTTTTGGTTGCCCAGATGTAATGATGCAGATGCCTTTAGCAAGGTATGGGCTCCCTCTTTCCGATCTAATTTCCACCTGTTCAAAAACTAACACCATCTATGGAAACCACCAATATCCATCACAAATTGTGACACTCTTTTGTCAGTCTACCAGAGTTAAGTCCTTCTCTTCTCTTAGAGGTTTCTGATTCATTTTATCTCACTCTTAATGAAGTCAAGGATTATCTCTCAGCACTCCCACCTGCAGAGAGGGGACCTTGCTGTCAACAGGTTTTCCCAGGGAAGCAGCTGTAAAGGAAGCCTCCAGCCAAGGCAAAAGCCGTGACTTGATTGTTTCCACGCCATCATTATGTCCTCCTAAAAGAATACACACAGCAGGTCAGCAAGAGAAACCCAACCGCACCCACAGTCAAAGAGCACCAGGAAGAGAAAGGAAAGGAGAGCTGGGAGGGAAAGTACAGGCCATTCTCACCTTCTTGGGCTGCTGTTGTGAGGATCCCAAAGAGTTGTCCCTGCACCTTGGCAACTTGCTCAATGAGTTCAAGGCAGTGGTTTAGATTTTGATCACAGGTGTTTGTCTGCAAGAGCAAAAGAGTACATCAACAGGGCAATTCCTTCACTCTGGGGACCACTGCAGGAACACCAGGGCCTCTCTTGACCCAAAAGCTGCCTAGCTCTCGTATGCTCTGTATAGTCATCAAAACCTATTTCCCTTTCCTCCCGAACACACAACTAGACCACTTTCCTCAGTTTCCCTAGCAGTTTGTATGGCTGTGTAACTGAGTTCTGGCTAACTGGATGGGAAATGATACATGCCTGGGGCCTGGCCCAGACGGAAACCTCTTGAACAACTTTTTTTCTTTTCCCATCTGCCAGCTGAATGCAGAAGAGCCAAGAGAGGATGCTGGGGGCATAAGGGATGGAGGAGCCACAAGATTTGCAAGGCTGCTGACTGAATGCTTGCATTGAATTGTCACATGGTTGAGAAAGTTGGTTTGTGTGTGTTAAGCCACTGAGACTTGCATGTGGTTTTTTATAGCAATAATCCTACTCAGTAAAACCATACAAAAATACATTTAAAAAGTAAAGAGACCTGTGGTAAGACAATACAAATCACTGCCGAATTTATCTGCTTTATTGGTTGCTGTCCTCTGTATACATTCAATATGTATCTATTATATGTGCATCGAGAACATTACTTCTTAACAGCAAGAAGGTATTGCTGGGTTGAGGATATAAGGGACTTGGCATTTGCAGACTCGTGGGGCAGACAGATGAACAGCCAGTTACCCTGCAGTGGAATAAGTCTTACCTACACAAATGAGTGCAAGCTCTACCCAAGAGTCCATTGGAAAGTCTGAGAAGGCTTCCAAGAGGAAGTGAAATCTAGGCCAAGACGAAATTAGCCAGACTTGGAAAAAGAGGTGGCTCCAGTTGTTCCATACTCTAAGCAATGAGAACAGAACAGGAGGAGTCCAAGAAGTGAACCTTACAGCTATTATTCTGCTTTCATCATTCCTTTTAAAGATTCTACCATTTCAGCATTAGCCAAACCTCTAGCTGACTCCAACACTAGAAGAAGGGAAACAACTACGTAGCAAACATCACGTGGGTGTAAAAATGCATCAATTTTTGTGTCACCTAAGGGTGCAATAAGGTCCTCGGTGCCTCCTGGACACACAAATCCCAGAACAGAAAACAGGGTACAAAAAGGATAGAAACTAGAAGGAAGAGGAAAAGTTGAGATGATCTCTAGGCAAAAGTTTGCAAGTCAAATGCACATCTGCATCAACCAAGGAAACAGTTCAGACAGGCAGGAAGCTCCTTGAGGACAGAGACTGGGCCTGTCCTGTTAGTTGTATTCCCAACCCTGCATTCTACAGCACCCTTATTCAGACTCATTATGTGTTGGATGGAAGCATGTCAGTGAGATGATTCACTCACTTTGGATTGATTCTCTCTCTCCTACATGCCAGGCTCTATGAGTGCTTTACATATATAACTCAATTAATCCTCGCACTGCTACGCTAGGAGATAGAAGAACTAGCATTTCCATTTTAGATGAGACAGCTGAGGCACAGAAAGGTTAAGTAACTGGCTCATGGCTACCCAGCTAGTAAATTGTCAGTGCTGAGATTGGAACCCCAGCAGCCTGGCTTCCAATGCAACCACGAGTGAATGGGGAGGGCATCCAGGGAAGGCCGCTCTGTGGAGGGGACCCTTGAGCATTCCTGGATTATAAGATTCAGGAAAGCACAGCAGTAGGGAAAGGGTATGCCAGGCAGTGGGAATATCAAGGACAAAGGTGCTGAGGCAGGAACAAGTTTGGCAACCTTGATGACAAAACATTTGTCAATGTGGCAGAGGCAAAGAAGGTCAGGGCAGGTTGGCAGAGCAGGTTGACCTGGAGAGCCTTTCAGGCGTGGCATGGAGTTTGGATGGGATGGGCTTGTAACTGAGAGGGCCGCTGGTTTACTTTCCATGCTCGGTAAATGCTACCTGATGACTAATTTTGTTGTAGCATTGATTTCTCCTGTAGCCATTTTTTCTCCATCTTGTCCTTCTAACCTCTCCTCCCAAAAAGATCATGAATTCTTTTTTAAAATGACCTTGCTTTTCTCATGTTTGTATCTATTGCCACTAGTATCCTAGCAAATTGAAGGGTCCAAACAGCAGTTGATGAATGAATGGTTTAACAACCTAATGTTAACATGATAGAGCATTTAAAACCCAGAGCCTGAACAGCTATCTCCATTCCTTCCTGACTAATCCAGCGGCTCCTTGCCCTGGCCATTTTATATCTGCACTTATAACACTGAACTTCAATTACCCGCTTACAAGCCTTTCGCCTTCTGACTAGATCAGTCCATGTGCTAAGTGAGAATGAGCTTGGGAGTCAAGCAAACCTAAGTATCTCAGCCCTGTCACTTGCCACAATTCTGTGTGACCCTGCACAAGTTACTTAACCTTTCTGAGACCATTCCTTTCCCATAGAATGGGGATAGCAATGCCTTGCCTAGCATTAGAATTAAATCAAAATAATACATGTCCAACACCTGAGACACAGACAGTGTCCATCAGTTGGCACCTATGAGGTAGCATGCAGTACTGAAAGGTGCCAGTGGTTTAGGAATAACCTTTGTTCCAAATCTGGTTCTCAACTTATCAGCTGCATTCCCTTAGAAAAGACATTTAAATATGAGGCTCTGTTTCCTCCTGTTTAGGAGGTAGTTGATCTCATGAGCATAGCCTAGCATAAAAGAGGTACACAATAATTAGAAGCATTATTACGGTATCATTCCTATCTGTTACTATGCCATGCCCAGTGCCTGGTACATAGTGGGTACCCAGAGGAACACTGGTCAAATGAGTTTTTAAACACAACTTAAATAACAGGAGAGAATAGCCTGTATCACACAGTTCCCCTTCTCAAGACATGTTACAACACGTTGCAACTTCTAAACACAAAGCATTGCACAATAGTCAAGTTGCAATAGGGTCACATTATTCTAGTAAACACATACCCACATACCCACACAAGACAAACAGAGCAAAGATATGGACTAATTATACTGTCTCCAGAGCACAGACTCTCCAGATTTATTCATTCATAAATCGTTGAGCTCCTATTATATGGAAGGCCTTGGAAACAAAGCTCAGGAAACAAAGCTATACTTAAAAGAAAAAAAAAGTTGACTGCAGTCAATGAACTAATTAGATGGGGAAGTAAGATGGAGAACAAGAGGCACATAGGGGATAAATAATTACGGTAGAGTTTATGTTAAGTGTCCTGTGTGGATAACAAGCTAGAGGAGCAGCAAAATAAGCTCTGGTGAAGGGTGAAGGGTAAGAGAGAAGGGCATTTCAAAAGAACAGAAAGTACCAAGACATAGTAGGGGGAAGTGAGTACAGGGTCAAGAGACCAAGTTTGGAAGACTCGACTTGCCACATTAAGGGTCTTAGGCTTTATTCCATCATCAAAATGTCTAAGGATGCAATAGAGAAAGGTGGGTATGATACGTTCACATTTGCTTCGCATGTTATGAAAATCTCTCTGACAAAAGCAGTCCAGATAGAATTTGGGTTACAGAGTGAGTCTGGTAGGGAGGTAGATGGGTATAACCATCTGGCTGAGAGATGCTGGAGGCTGTAGACATGACACACCAACGGTCCCCCAAAGGTCTTTCCCAGCCCCAAATTACATCTGTGCCAGTCAAGGTCCCACTGATTCCAGCATTACCTAAGAAGTTCAGGGAGTTTAGAAAGGAGCAAGAAGTATGAGAGGGATGATCCTGAGTTTGGGTTTGAACAAGTGAAGGGGCCTGTAGGACCTTCAGATGGCATGTCCATCTAGGCAGCATTACATAGAATTGAAGAAATATGGATAGTATTTATTTTACACCCCCTCCCCATAAATGTGTTTAATTATATACACATGTAAGATGATGTGCAATAATTCATAAGTTCCAAGGGTGATGATGAGTAGTCATACATTTTTTGGACTTTGTTATAATTCAGTATGTTAAGAATGATTCAAATGCAGATTTAACAATCGTATAATCTATCGAATGCTGTTTTTGATAAAACACTGGAGGTCTTATTGCCAAACTGATGGTAATGAGGCACTAAGGGTAAAAAATTTGTACATGTCGTGAAGAAGGTATTTAAATCCATCTTTTGAACAAATTTAACAAACATGAGTAACTTCTTTTTTATTTAAAAGGGCTGTTTTGAAATGAAGATGAAAATGTGTTCATCCTTTTTTCAAATTTAAGGGAATAATTTATACCAGACTTTGAGACAAGAATGTACAGCAAAAATGTGGGGAACAGTAGTAGGCTGAGCATGTATATATTTAATATATAGTTTATTCCTTTCTAAGCCTGCCAGTCTTTTAGGCTTTGAACATGCCCAGCAGCCACAGTCATTGTCATTATTGTACCCCAACCCACAACTATTTTTTAAGAAGTCTTAGGTTCACAGAGAAAGGAATGTTGACTTTGAAATTATAGATTTATATTAATGTCACTATAAACCTACAGGAATAGTAATTTTTAAACAAACTTGCTAAATATTGGAGACTAAGTTAATACATATAGCAGTGTAGCTATTCTCCCTAGATGGTGTCTCACAATGGATTTCTGCTGCTTGAATATTTTCTTAGCGAATATTTAAGGTAGTTACTGGGATTTGATGATCTAAGTATTTTGAAACACATTTTGAATAATATGGTTTAGCGTTAAAGGGGAAAGAAAATATGATTTTTTTCTTACTCATTCTACCTTCCCTGTACTGTATATTTGGAATTGATCATTAAATTCATTCATTATTTTTTTCTCTCTAAAAGAAAAAAAAAGAATATGAAAGGATTTATTAGTCTTATTTTTTAAAAATCCATCAATATTCCTTTAAAATATAAATGCTATTACAATATTAAATGGTTTAACTGACTTTTTTATTTCTAAAAAGACTCATTTTACATCCCCCCAAAAAAATGTCATTCCTATTCTGCCAAGTAGAGAATTCATAAATGAGTAAGGAAAAAAGATGAATCAGCTAATAAGTATCTTGACACTAG